CCCCCCTATAACACTGTTGGTTATTCCGTTTTATATGAATTCCATGTTGTACGAGTCACTTAAATTTTACAAATATGTGAGCCGTTCACAGCCCAGCACATGTATTTGTAAAATCTAAGTGACTCGTACAACATGGAATTCATATAAAACGGAATAATCAACAGTGTTATAGGGGGGTCGACTGGTAATATCATAGTCTTGTTTACACTTACCGTGTAACTTGCTTACACCCCTAAAATTTGACCCTATCTTATTCTATCTACCATTAAATATGACTTACTACTCTTCTATTCCTTGTGTGCTTTACAGTCTACCAAATTTTACTTATTATTTTCTATACATTTCTATGGACTACTATCTAACAAATAGTACCTAATATTCTTGTGTGAATTACTATATAATTTTTTATACGCACTTCGTTCTGTCTACCATTCTCTTGTGATGTATGGTAAATTTATATTTTCGTACGTCTTATCATCTATTCTTATGAGGGAGTGTGTTGTAGGAGAGGAGTGATGGTAAGTAAATTATATTAGGTAGTATGCTCTAACATAAGTAGGTAGTAAGAGATGTTGGTTATTCCTGTATGCCACGGATTCACATCATACCCTTTACTCTCTAAATGCTGATTTTAAGTATTAATTAACGTATTAAATTCCACGATTTTCTTATTACGATACGTCTAAATGATAAATTATCAAATAATACGGGTTAGTAAAATCTTAATTTAGTAAAAACTTTGGTCCCTTCGACCGAAAATAGTCGTCAAAATATCTGGAGCCGAGCAGAGTTTGAAGTATTCTATTGATTTTGATTTGGAGTCGGGGATGTTTAAAGGGGGGAAGAAGGGTGATCGCTTAGTGCCCCGTGCGGCGCGTATCCATGGCAACCAAAGTTGACGTGACAGGAAATTGGCCCCGCCCATTCCCAGCAGTAGCGTGTATTTTTGAGAGGACATGAACTTCCCTTGTCAAGGCTGATGTTCTCCTTTCCCATCTGCTTTGTTGGGATTTACTGAAGATAAAGATTGAAAAGAGATAAAGTGAGATGAAATATAACTTGTCCTCTATTAAAATAAGGATAAGTATAGGCCATAGACAAATTTTAATAGTTGCTTATCTTCAAGACTGATAGGTTATCAATTTTAAGTGGAAATCAACTTGAATCGCCTTTTCATTAGTCAAAATTCTTACATGACCTTTTTTTTTTCATATTGAATTTATTTATATTTGTGCACATGCGACACAAAAGCTA